AGAGATATTGATACATTGGTGATTGTCTTCCAAAATGCTATAGATTATGGAATGATTGTCGTGGTACGGAAGGTACTATTTATGCACTATTTAAGAAAAAAGTAACAGTGAAAATAGGGAACTACAGACTCGTAAGCATTCCATCAATAGTTGAGAAAATGCTAGAAATAAAGGATAAATAAACACCTGGTCGATATCAGCGCCATTCTGCCTCCACCCCTCCTTCCCCTTTATCTGCAGCTCCCCCTTACGTCCTCATTCAGTCCAAGAGTAATACCCGAAACATTGACTGCTCCTTTCCTCCAGATGCTGCCTGTCCTGCTGTGTTCTTCCAGCCTCCTGTTTGTCTACCTTGGATTCCAGCATCTGCAGCTTTTTTTTGTCTCTAATATGGTTGATAATGATCTGATTGGGCATTGTTGATATGGATTCGCAAATGGTATATTGTGATTGGCAAATTTGATGGAGTTTTTTGAAGATGTTACAAAATTGATAAAGGAGATCCAATAGATGTAGTACACCTAGATTTTCAGAAGGCTTTTGATAAAGTTCTCCTCAGAAGATTAAAGTAAATGGCATAGGAGGGAACGTATTGGTGTGGGTTAATGATTGATTAACAGATGGAAAACAGTAGGAAGAAATAGGTCATTCTCACATTGACAGACTATGACTAATGAGGTACCACAAGGATCAGTACTTGGACACCAGCTGTTCACAGATGTGGGTACAAATACAATGTTTAAAAGAAATTTGAATAAGTACATGAATGGGAAAGGTTTAGAGGGATGTGGGCCAGGACCAGGCAGGTGGGACTAGTTTAGTTTGGGATAACGTTCGGCATAAACTGGTTGGACTGAAGGATCTGTGTTCATGCTGTATGATTCTATGATTTATGTCAATGATTTGGAGGTGGGACTAAATGATGATATAAAGTTAAGTAGCAATGTATGTTGTGAGGAAGAGGTAAACTGGTTTCGGGACGATGTGGTCGAACTTGGTGAATGGGAAAGAACATGGCAGATAGAATATAATGTGGACAAAATATCAGGTTACTTGTAGAGTAATCCCAGGAGAAAAATTAAAGGTAGGGTTCTATTAGTCAGGCTGGACACAACATTCCTAGCAAGGATTTCCAGCTCTGGATTATAGGTAGAGCAGTTTCACAGGCACAGAGGATTGTGGGTATAGTAGTCACCATTGTCGACCAGTTGGTGTGTGGATTGAAGGTAGGTCGTCTGATGATGAAGTCTCCTGGAATATGGTCCAATAGCAATGCCTTACCAAACACGAGAAATATCTGCATTGTGCAACAGGCAATATCAGTGTTGGGCTGTGATTGCAAGTGAGTGAGAGAGCAAGGTGCATTGTTATTGCAGGAATCATCACGATTGGGAGTTAGGATCTGGATGCACTTGGTCTGTTCTCATTGTGTCAACAGGTCAACTGAGCCAGGATCATCTTGGCTAACCAACAGAATCTCCAAACTGTCCTCTTTGGGTGCAGGCAGCTTCTGTTGCTGCTGAGATTTCCAAACCTTTCCTAAAGCTTTACAATGTCCTTCAGTCTGGAGCCAACACAATCTGGAAATGAAGCCGCTAACAGCTCTGCAGGATCAAACTGGGAAAAAGGATGTTATGGGATTAGACTGGGCAGGACACTGTGGTATATGGAATGTCTGCTTCCTTCACAATCAGCACAACATTGCTACAGTGTGTACCATCAACAAGATGCACTGCAGCAACACACCAAGGCTCCTCCAAAAACACTTTGCAAACTTGTGATCTCTGCTACGTGGAAGGACAATGGCAACAAATACATGGGAACACAACCACCTCCAACGTTCCCTCTAAACGCCACACTATCCTGACTTGGAAATATATCACCATTCTTTCAATGTCACTGGACCTAAATCCAGAATTCCCTCCCTTGTACCCCTATAAATGTCTCTATACCAACAAGAGTGGCAACATGCATTTATGGAGTCATAGAGCCATATAGCATGGTAACAAACATTTTACTTCTCTATTTTTCTAATTTATTCCTGTGGCCTATAATGCTGGACTATTTATTTCTTTATTTTGAAATTATTTTTTGTTTCCTAAGATTGTGATCTTAAGTATTGTATCTAGGTATCTTTGTACCTAAGATGGCACTGTAATGAGGCAACTGTAAATTTTTCATTGTATTCATTTGAGTACATGTGACAACAAAGCTAATTCATTCATTCAGGTCTTTCAGTCCAACTTATCCATGCTGACCAGGATTCCCAAACTATACTAGTCCATCTTACCTGCATTTGGCCCATATCCCTCTAAACCTTTCCTATTCATGCACCTATCCAAATGTCTTTTAAACATTGTAACTGTACCTGCATCTACCACTTCCTCTGGCAGTTCATTCCACATACGAACCACCCCCATGTGAAAAAGTTGCGCTTCAGGTCCCTTTTAAATCTTTCTCCTCTCATCTTAAAAATATATCCTCCAGTTTTGAGCTCCCCTACCCTGGGGAAAAGACCTTACCTATTCACCTTATCTATGCCCCTCATGATGTTATAAATCTCTATAAGGTCACCCCTCAACCTCCTAAGTTCCAGTGAAACAAGTCCCAACCTGTCCAGCCCCTCCCTGCAACTCAAACCCTCCAGTCCTGGCTACATCCCAGAATTTCTTTTCTGAACCCTTTCTAATTCAATAACATCCTTCCTATAAAAGGGCGACCAGAACTGTACACAGTACTCCACCTTTAACGTAGTGAAACACCTACATTGCTACACAGGTGTGATCACACAACATTTGACACAGTCATGTGGAGAAATATTAGTGCAATTGAGCCAAAGTGAGGTAGAAAGACAGAGGGACTTCCAGAGCTGGGGACCTAGACTTTGGAATGCACAGCTACCAATTATGGGGTGTTAAAATCAGAGGGGCTTAACTGAGTGCAGAGAGTTGAGGGCCTGTTGGAGATTACAAGAGAAAGGGATGGGCAAATATAGAAACATGTTACCCCACTCTTTAAAAAGGGAGGTGGAGAGAAACAGGGAAATATGTCGGTACTGGGGAAGATGCCAGGGTCAAGGATTTTACAGCAGAGCACTGCGAAAACAGTGGCATACACAGAATGCATTTACAAAAGGAAAATCAGGCTCCACAAATCAACTGGAATTCTTCCAGGATGTAACCAGTAGAGAGTTTGGGGGGGGGGGGGGGGGGGGGGGGGGGGGGGGGGGGTTTTTTTTTTGAGGTGTAAGAA